GATGCAACACTCCAGCTGATTTTGAACTACTCATTTAGTAAATCTGCTGCTCAACATGGTAAGTGGAATAAAAAGTGAAGCAATTTTTCTGTTTACAAATGGAACCAGGTGGGTTTTTTTTTTACTCTACTCAAATCTTTGGCTTTCTGCTGACAGGAAACTACCAAAATGCACTTATGTGCATATTGAGCACTATTCACTGAAGTACTTTTAAGACAACTTGAAACTGGTCTGATTGCAGCTATCCAGCTTTTACTAGGTTTCAAATGCTTAAGACACAGAAAAGGATGTTTGTCCAGTTTTCTGACCCAGAGTGCTTGTTTTTTGCTTCTTCTCAGGTGGAAAGAGGTGGCAGATATTTTTTTACAGTAAGGTAACATTGAATTATCTCAAACTATTTTAAAATCTAAAACATCCATTGTCTGCACATCATTAGACCAAAGTGCGCATGCTGTAGATTTGGGTGGGAGGTGCAAAGGAGATTTCTCTCTCTCCCAATTCCAGACAACTGTGTGCAGGGTCAGTCCCTGGTGCATGTTAGAACAATGTAAGTGCAACATTTAAAAACAACTTATTCTGTTACTAATGTCCCCAGGGCTGAAACAGCAGCCAGGGATTGGTGTAGGATAGATATGTCTCAGCCATGCTCCTTTTTATCTGGCTATGTCCTGTATTGGGCAGCAGGGAACAGGTGGGATGGATGACAGCACCGGGCAAGAAAATCCAGCCCATCATTGTGGAAAGCCAGCACTACAGCATTGCTCTGATTTCCAGGTAGATGGGGAAAGAGGTGTTTTAGAAAAAGCATTTGTATTAAACTATTTTGCTGGTGTTGTCAAGCTACCAGTTTGTTACCAATTAGATTTTTACATCAGCTCAATGTCAACCACGGTTTAAAAGAGAGAACCCAACAACCTCATAGGCCTCCATAAAACACATAAAAAGTTGTCTCCCCCAAGCATCTTCAATCAAAACTACAGGGAAAAAAAATGAGTTTTTCCTCCTTTTCCCTAAACACAAAGCCTGCAATTTAAGGATCAACTTGAACTGTAGGCAATATAGCACCAGTGCTAGCAATGCTGGGATTTTTTATTTTTTTTTAATCCCCAGTGTAAACACGTCCTTCCAAAAATGAGTTAAAAGTACAATCATGTGGGCAGAATAATATATGACTGAGTCAGGAGATCTAGGTTCTATTCCTAACTCTACCCTTGGCTCCCTATGTCCCTCTTGGCCTTAGTTTCCTCACTAGCAAAACCAGGATAATGCCTACCTGTGCAAGTGCTATGCAATCTGTAGATGAAAGATGTTATTAGAGATAAATATTATGAACCAAAGGCACCTCACAGGATTTCACATCTAGCGCAAAACACCAATTATGATCAATAGTGCCATATTTCTGCACTTGTTTTCTGCATTAAAAGAGCCAGTGTTATATACTGTTTTTGGTTAGTGATAAAAAAACCTGAATTTACATCTTGTAAAAACCGTTAAAAGAAAGCCTGTTTTAATTCTCAACTTTAAACTTCTCACAAAATATAAGTGTTAGACTATTTTAAAATATTTCAAATCACTGGCTTTAAAACAATCTGTAAATCATTATTTTTAAAGCAAGCACTTTGCCAAAATGAAGAATTGCTACTCAGGAGGAAATCCTTCCTGCATGGTGTTAAGCAGCTGCCTAATGGTAATTCACTGTATGCTTAGCACTAGTGCTGAGTATCTACTTAAAGCAAATAAATGTAAGGTCACTAAGGTTTTGTTGTGCACCTTTAATAGCTTCCATTATGCATTCTCCCACATTTAGTTGAATGAAAAGTAAATCAGCATAACTGACTTTTCTGAGAGATGCACAAGGACCTGTATTTCCTGTCATCCATGCAAACAGAACATGTAGGAAGAGAACTAAATTAAACACTGCTACAGAGGGGAAAGAGCTGAGAATTACAGTAGTCAGACTTTTTGCCATTCAAAATGCCAGGTAAAAATGCTTTTTTTGGCCAGGTAAAAATACTTGATGTCCATCCCAAGAAAAAAAGCAACAAAATCAGATAGCTAGAATTCAAAAAGTCATTTTAGTCAAATGGAAGTTCATGATCAGTTATAATAATGAAATGTTTAGCAGAAGGGGAATGAAGAAACACAGAAACATGAAAACCATGTTAGCTGCCATCCTCTAAAACCTAAACACATAAGGTGAGATGCCAGCTAAGATGGCCACAGTGGAGTAAGCCCCTAATCTTGCTGGGAAAAAATAGTCTGTCACTGGAATTGAGAGACAGCTATAGACTGCACTCCCAGGACACCCACACAGCAGATGTAGAGGGCGCACTGGAAGGAGGAGGGGCATGTCAGGGGAGGGGCTGTAGCACATAGCACTGCAGAAATTCTTGGTAGCATCTGTCAACATACAGCGACCTGGAGAGACAGCCATAATTTAGACAGACCCTGCTCCCTTCTTCCAGTCTTATGTAAATTATGCTACTCCAGGGCCTCTCCAGCCACTGGAGTAGCCCAACTTCAGGAAGATGCAAGGGTGGCTTAAAGCCACCTCAGCCCACTCCTTCCCCTGGCTGAGAATTCTGTGTGGTGCCTCCTGGAGGTGCGACACAGAAGCTGCTCCAGGAACGATACTACATGCTGTCATCTCAACTATCATACTCTATTATCGAAGACAGTGGCTCAAAGAAAATGGTAACTACTATTTTCTCTTTGTAACAGTCAAAGACTAAAATGAGTCAGCCCACTGGAACAGATTTCATATGGGACATAATTCTATTGTGTCCATAAAATTGTGTCCAACTGAGCTACACAAATGCATTAGAAGAAAAGAGCCATTGGCATTAAATAACAGAGCAGTAAAATATTCCATGACAAACATCCATCATTCCTGTAGTTGGCCGATCCCTATCTATGTTCTGTACACCAATTGTTAATGAGAGGTTTCAAACACTTCACAATTAGTATAGCCTACACATCTTTACCAGCTCCTCAGAGGCAAGAGTCATTATTAGAGATGGACACAAACCAAAATCCCAGTATCCAAATGCTCTTCGACATTCAGATCCAAACTTCGTGACTCAAGCTCACATCTGTTCCTTTAATGTGAGCTTCATTAAACTTAGATTTTTCCCTAAAAGCACATTTTCTCCTTCAAAGCTTCATTCAGCCAAACATCAAAAACTTCAGAAACTGCTACAAACCTAGAAGGTAACATTCAACTGCAGACTGCTGCACACTAACGCAAAGGGGCACCAGACCCTGCCAAAAGAACAGATGCAAAATCTGCAGACATTTCTCCGCTGCTACAATGATCAACAACCCCCACAACACACCTTTCAAGATCCATGGGCCCTACACATGCATATCACAATATGTGGTGTACCTCATCCAGTGCACTAAATGCCCCATTAGCAACTACATGAGTGAAACCAATCACTGTGCTCTAAAATAAACGCTCCCAGGAAAATGATAAAAGTCAAAAAACAACCATATCACCTGTGGGTGAACACCTTTCACAAAGTGATCACTCTATATCTGAACTATTAGTCCTCATCCTCACAGGAAACCTGCACAAGACTTTCAAATGATGAGCCTGGTAGCTTAAACTCATAACTTTTCTAGACACTAAAAATCATGGTCTGAACAGAGACACTGGATTTATGGCTTATTACAACAATCTGTAACCCACTAACACCACCATAGCTGCTTTCCTCCTCCCCTTTTCTCTCTGTGACTGGAGAAGTGTTAACAGGCCACTTCACCTTGAATGGTCCCTTCAAATGTGTTAGCTATTTACACTAAACAATCTGTTCAAACCTTGTATTTAGCAGTGACACTGAGTTAGCCCATGTCTACACTACAAAATTATGTCAACCCAACTGACATTGACATAGAACCACCGCAGTTATTAAATCGCTTACGTGTGCGCACACTTGGCTCCTTGTGTCGGCAGCACATGTCCTTACCAGGAGCACTTGTATCAACTGTAATGTCAGTATCGAGCATTGTAGAACAGCTCCTGAAAGCCCAGTAACAGTCAATGTGAACAACACAGTGTCTACACTGACACTGCATTGCCCTAATTACATCAACCATGACTCTACACTATTCGGAGAGGTGGTGTTACTAAATCGGTATAGAGAGGCACTTACGTTGGCGGGAGCCAAATTTAAGTGAAGACACTTCCACAGCTAAATCGAAACAAGGCAGCTTACACCAATCTAACTGCGTAGTGTAGACTAGGCCTTAGTCTCTCAGACCTGAAGAAGAGCTGTGTGTAAGCTCAAAAGCTTGTCTCTCTCACCCCCAGAAGTTGGTCCAATAAAAGATATTACCTCACCCACCCTGTCTCAATAATGGTCTGATTGTTTCATACCACAGATTATAAAGGAAGTGTTTGTTTAGACATTTATTCTGGATTTATCATTCTCTGAGTAACTCATAGGAATCTTTGAATGCATTTTTACCAATTGCATACCTCTATGGTGCCAATTTCTCAAATCTTTAAGAGCTGGGTTCGACTATATCACTAAACAACTGTAGCATTCACCCTCCCCCCCCTTTAACTTTTCATGGGGAAAAATGTCTCAAGAGTGGGTTACAAATAACCAATTTTTGTCTTCCAAGTCATTTTCAAGGAATTGTTCAGGCTGAAAAAAGGAAAATTATGGTTTTACAGCCAGCCAGTTTCTTAAAGATCTGTTTTTTGTAATCTTAGGGGCAACAGTCCTAGACAGTGGTCTCATTCGCTTTTCTCTCGACCAATGTCAGTGAAAAGACAGACAAATTACACTATGTCCTTGATCCTGCAAAGGCACGCACACACACAACTGCACGCACCGACTAGTCCCACTTGTACATGAGTCTTTGGAGGTCTGAGTCCTAAAAACCTTATTTGAACCAGGTCTTTTTGAAAGTAAACATCTATAGTACTTTCTATGTCAATAGTCTGGTCTATTACTTAACACTGCAATTGAAGACAAGAAAGGATTACTCACCGATCAATCACAATTTCTTTCTGTCTTAGCAACCCTTCTTTGATTTTCATAAGGGATTCCCAATTACTGAAATCCTGATAGCCTGTACCTGTGTAACCTTGACGAGACGATCCAGTCAGAACCTGCATTTTAAAAAAATTATATAGATTAGTTCAAAGAACAGTAATTGTAACAATTTTTTCCATGTTCTATGAGTTTCAAATCTAAAGTTCTTTCTGAAGCATAAAACATTCTTGTATTTAATTTTACAGTTTTACTTAAAGGAAAACTGAGCAAAGAATTAAGCATACAGTAAAGTTAACATTTTTTTAAAAAGCAAAGAAACTTTGATCCAAAAGATCCCATTTTCAAACTCATCTTAGATTACTCTGAAAATATTGTTAAGGCAATATCCTCTGAAACTAGAGCTGGAGGAAAAAAGGCCATTGAGAGGTCAAATATTGTAGTTAAGGGAAATACTGTTGTATGCTGATACACATTTTTATGCACTTGCTGCAGTTTTTTGAGCAAAATCAAAGGATTTCCTGATGGTATTAGAGCGGTGGTTCTCAACCTTTCCAGACTACTGTAACCCTTTCAGGAGTCAGATTTATCTTGCGTACCCCAAGTTTCACCTCACTTCAACTGCTTGCTTACAAAATTAGACATAAAAATATTAAAAAAGTGTCACAGCACACTATTATGGAAAAAATACTTCCTGTCTCATTTTTACCATATAGTTATAAAATAAATTGATTGCAATATAAATATTGTATTTACATTTCAGTGTGATAATTGAGCCCAGGTGGCCGGGCTGAAGCATGTAACTTACCTTCGCAGGGCACCCTGTGGCGTGGGGTCCTGGGCAATTGCCCTGCTTGCCATACCTTAACGCCGGCCCTGCACTCGCAATTCTCCTAAACCTATCCGGGGGTTGGAACCCCCCAGGTTGAGAAAAACTGATCTAGATGAGTTGAGTACGCTGGAAGACCTCTGTGTACCCCCAGGGTACACGTACCCCTGGTTGAGAACCATTGTATTAGAGCACTTGGCACTAGATTCACAAAGGTACTCAGGTGCCTGACTCCAACATTTTAGGCACCATTGACACTCACAAAATCATTGATCAGCTGCCATCTAACCCTGTAGGCACCCAGCATTCCCTCCGGTGTACGTGCACAAAAAACTGCATGAGTCTTGACGCCCAGCTTAAGCCCTGGTGAGATCCTCAAACTAGGCATTCCCACACCTATCTCCCCTGCAGAGCCAATCCCAGACATGCTCTGAGCATGCCTAACCTGCACAGAAGAAAGCTGAGGGTGAGCAGTTTGGGAATTTCTGGGGCTATGGGGATGTGCACGTTGAGAATGTTGAGGGCAGGCATGAGTATGTGTCGCAGCATACCCTAACCCCTGGGGCTATTGGGTATGATCCTATGGGAGAGGTGGGAGACCCAGGTTTGAATCTGCATACTGCCTGATTTGAAGCAGGGACTCCAGCATGAAGGCGAGTGCCCCAGGCTATTCAGTATTCTGGGGTGTCTCACTCTCTCCTGATGAAGTTGTATAATTTGTATAAATAGTTAAATATTCACTGAAGCAGAGACTTGAACCTTACTCTCCCATATCCCAGGGAATGCCCTAACTGCCAGGCTATAGAGTCAGACTCTCACTTTCTCTCTCACTAGCCCACTGAATATTTATATAAAAGGAACAACTCCAACAGGAGAGAGACCACGTTCCAGAATACCCAATAGTCTGGTGGTTAGGGCACACAGCTGGAATGTGAGAGACCTGGGGTGAAGTCCCTGCTCCAAATCAGACAGAGCAGGGATTTGAAAACAGGTCTTCCCCATACCAGGGAAGTGTCTAGCCACTGGGCTATTGGCTACAACAGGGAGAGAAAGTATCTCACTCTCTTCCCACCCCTCAAAAAAGGCCTGAACTGGCTTAAGTGCCTAACTCGAGGAGAGGGTTCATGGCTGAGAATCCAGAGTGGAGATGGGTGCCTCCTTCAGGGCCTGTCAGTCAGGTACCAGGTCAAAGGGAATCAGGTGCCCAGGGGTGCTTGACCAATTTGTATAGTGGAGTGCTGTAAACCAAACTGTAAACTCTGTATATGACGGAAACCACTTCAAGCCAGGGGGTGCTTCCCCCCCCCAGCACCTATGTAGGTGCCTAAGTACCTTTGTGGATCTGGGCCCTAAGTCCTGCTCCTTTCCTCTGCATTTCACTCTGCTATCTTAGGAGGCCCCTCATTCAACTTGCTGGCTTCTGCGGATCCCTTCCTTAGGCATCCAACTCTCCTCATACAACATATGGGAACCTGGCTGCCTGCCTTGGAGCGGTGACTCTCACTAGGCAGCTGGGCACCTAGGAGTGTTTCAATGCCTAAATCCCTTCGGGAATCTAGTCCTTGGCATCTTGAGATCTTCAAATATAATTTTATCATCCTTCAGTCAACCATTAGATTTCACCTACAATGAATTACATGAAAAAAAGTATGTAATCCCCATGAATATATGTGCATTTAAAATATATATAAACTGGGTTTAAATTCAGCACACAGAGGCTTGGATTGCCTCCCATCAGTCCTAGTGTGTGGCTGAGAGGGGTGACAATTTGGATCTGTGACATAAAGATTAGTAAATTTTAGTATTTAATTTGATGATTTAAGTAGTTGATTTGGTATTGATTTGAAAGTTGCATTGTTTTATTTTTAGTTTGGTTTATTATTAGTAATAATATTCATTTTGGTGATATGTTTTCTTGATTTTATTTTCAAGTGGCTTAATACATTTTTTAAAAAGGTACTGAGTCATATTTCTTTTGATAAGTTACAAGAGTCAAGAATCTTTGAGGCCCTGGGTGGATATTGGCCTGTCAATCTAAGTCAGACCAGCTCCCTCTCATTAGTCTTTGCTTCTCACAAGATCCTAAAATCACTGTCCCATCATCCCCTCCATCAATTTTTTTCCAGGCCTGTGCATGGGATGTTGTGCCCCAATGCAAAAACACTAACAGAATCTGTTTTGCATGGCCACACAAAGCATGTCTTACAAAACTTAGCTGTACCAATGACAAGAGGCTGGATTGCATAATAAAAATCAGTAAAGGTGGCCATATTTGGTGGCACATAGCATTTCCTTTGCTGGTTCTCCCATTACAGAGCTGCCTGCCTCTCTACCCCGGCTACTGGACCCTTTTAGGCCACAATCAGACAGAGGAAACAATCTTGAATCTTACCAGATCAGATTCTCTACTTAAGCACCTTTCCCTGCCTCTCAGAGCCAGGGATTCTCTGCCTTCCTAAGAAAGCTCATTAGTTTGATATGTCGATGCAGTGTCCTGTGCACTGCATAGCTATGAAATTGTCAACACTGAGATCACAACTCTTGCTGTGTGATACAGCAGCCTATTTCACTAATGATAGTGTGTAAACTGATGGAATAACTCATTGGAACAAAAAAAATACAGTTGCAGTCAGCAAGGTCTTTTCCTTGAGGGACAAGGTTTATAAAAAGAAAGCAAAAATAAGTTAATATAAGCAGAAAAGAAGTGTTAACAGATTCTCCAAAGTTTGAGGTTCAACCCCAGTCACATGACATGGGTGTGGCGCATAGGTGCCGGCTTTCTCTGGGCCTGGAGGGTGCTCAACCCCTGGCTCCGCCCCCACCCCCCCATTCCCCCAAACCCCCCCCCCCGTCCAGCCTCTTCCCACCCCCACTCTACTCCAGGTCCTGTCCCCACCCTACCCTTTCTCCCAAGTCCCCAGCCCCGCCCCACCTCTTCCATCCACGCCCTGCCTCTTCCCACCCAGTTCCACCCTCTCCTCTGAATGTGCCCCATCCCCACTCCTCTCCAGAGCCTCCTGCACGCCGCAAAAAAGCTGATTGTGGTGGGCAGGAGGCACTGGGAAGGAGGGAGAGGAGTTGATGAGCGGGGCCGCCGGCGGGAGGCGCTGGCTGCCAGTGGGTTCTAAGCACCTGCAAATTTTTTTCCATGTGTGCTCCAGCCCTGGAGCACCCACAGAGTCGGCGCTTATGGTGTGGAGTCTAGCCTTCCCAAAGGCATTCTCTCCCTCCTGTCTTCAAAACAGCCAGTCTACAGACCTTCCCTTGAGTGTCTGAGTAGAAGGAAGGGAAAGTTGAACGTTGGCAACTTCCTATCTGCATATTCTGTCACAGGATGGCAGGGTCTGGGATCATCAAAAGAGTAAGGGCTTGTCTACATGGGGAATTATTCTGAAATAGCTATTTCAGATTAACCTCAGGTTATTTTATTCCAAAATAAGAGCATCCACACAGGGAATTAATCAGGAATAGCTATGCCACTTTCATTTGTACTCTACCTTAATACTAATTAACTTCTCGGTGTAGATGAGCCCTTAGCAGCCGGTATTCATCTGCTAATTCAAATCTGGCCCCATAAGCAATAGGCATGACACAGAATTTGTGAAGCACTTTGAAATCTACTGATGAAAAATGCTACATAAGAGCTAGGTATTATTATTATTATTTAAATTGTTGGGCACATCTTCCAAAGGAGACATAAAACAAAAAGACTGAGCAACTGCAGTCAAAGATCTTAAAACACTTTTTACAAAGGAATGGGTATGCTGACCAGATTCCAACAAGGGCAATTCTACATAAAGCTCCTCTTGTACTTTCAACTGGCAAAACTATTTTTCAGTTCCACTCCTAAAATATTTTGCATAATGAAATAACAATATATAAATTAAGACTGTAAATGAATACAAATGTCATATCATTGCTTGAACAAGGCAAGTTCTGGCTCTTATACTGCCCAATGAGAACAAACATGTTGGCCAATTTTAGACAGCCTTACGCCCAACTCAATGGCATTTCGGTTTGTCCGTCTATCTGTAATGAGGTAACTTTTGAATGCCACATCCGATCAAGTCCAAAATTTCAGGCAATGTTCTAGGCACCAATGACTAGAACCCTCTTGATCTCGGGGGAAATTGGAAAACTGAAAAGGGTGAAATGGGGGCACATGAATTTTCTGCCAGGTCTTTAGCACACCAAGCCTCAAGCACCTCTCCAATCAATCAAAGAAGTGGTTGATGGCATTCATTAGACTTTATAGCATAACAATACTCCCATCTCATATCTGCTTATCCT